CCATTTCTGTTTGTATTTCAGTCATGTAATAATAACGGGAATTTGATTGAGCACTGACTGTGAATATGTTTAAAACAGGATTTATACAGCCACTGGCGCATGTTACTGAACCTTCATCAAATCTTCGGCGCACAAAAAACGAACTTTCCACCCTGGGCGTAGTATGTTGGCGGCTAAAATGTTCGTTATCCAAACAAGAAATTATATACTGAAACATGCGTAAATTCTTCAGTATTTTTTACCGAAATGGCATGTGATAAAAACCAAACATACTTGCAGGTTTGGTGAGTCCAGGAACGCACTTCGGGTGGCTGGAAGTTTCCAGAACCCACCTCGCTTCGTGCCAAACTTCCAGCCACCCTCGGTGCGTCCAATCCCGGACTCACCTCCCTGCAAGTATGTTTGTTATAGAACCCAATAGACGATTCCCCTTAGTACGTTTTCGTAGCGCTTTGCATTGTGGTTATAGTGGTATCACTGACATTCAAGATGGCTTATTTTTTGTCCTGACCCATGCAAGAACTCTTAAAAAAAGCTAGGGTCAGGTGCGTGATAGCCAACAGCAAAATATTCGCGAAAACATTCAATATTTTCATTCGAGGCCGTATCTTTATCAGTGATACCACTATAACCACAATGCAAAGCGCTATGAAAACGTAATAAGGGGAATCGTCTATTAAAGAACTATGGATTGGTCGTAAACGGCTAAATATATTAAAATTAGGTACTGTCTTCTTGCGGTTCGCGCTCAGGTTGTAGAATTAGCCTTTCTCATGACACTCGGTTTATCTGGGTGTACGGCCAGCTCTCCCAAAGTCTGAGAATGTACGCATCGCAAAACGCTACTTCTTACCACTGCAGCAAGTTGTGCAGATACAACCTCATTCCCAGGTTAAGAGCCTGGAAACCAGGTTGGTGTAGATAATGGTAAATTTACAGATATAATTTTGAAAAGTCACTTCCACATCGCTTTAAAGTGCCACTAACCCCTAAATTTTTTTTTCATATAATAAATAACCGCTATAAATAGCGGAGTACAGAACTGGAAAATTTTTTTTAATCGGTTGAATTCTCGCAATACTATGGCTTCTCAAAGTTTGCGCACATTTGTTCCACGACCGAGCTTTGGGAGACTGGTGAGAGAGGAATGTGTGACGCCAATTGGTGAACTCATGCGAAGCCTCAGTTGTAAACACTATACTTTACTATTACAAAGAAGCTTTATTTCGAAGCAATAATTCGCGGTTTTTTATATCTTTTTGCAATGTCTTCGACGGATGCATCTTCCGAGGCTTCTTCGTTCGCATCAGAGAACGAATATTTATCAACATACCTTTATTATTGCATTTATTACTGCAGAGAAATTAATATATAATAGTGTCGTTCACTTGATTTGTGCTCAATCAGTAGGATAGTGATGAAGCCAGAATATAGCAAAATATGTTCTTGAGTAAACACCGTTTACGAAAACTTTGATTCATATTGAGTACTATTGAAAATGGCTATACGTGTTAGCTCATTTTCATAAAGTTAATATCATATAACTGCATCATTCCATGAAAAAACCCGATACGCGTCAAACACTGTCTTCGACGGATGCATCTTCCGAGGCTTCTTCGTTCGCATCAGAGAACGAATATTTATCCGAATATGACGAAATGTCAGGGATAGAAGGCTTAGAAGCCGATATATCTGAAGCGGAGCAAATCGAGACATTGGACGATGTCACTGCCGAGATAACTGCTGCTGACAGTCCTGTGGTTTCAATTGCGAGAATTCAACCGATTAAAAAAAATTTTCCAGTTTTGTACTCCATAAATAGCGGTTATTTATTATATGAAAACAAATAAATTTAGGGGGTTAGTGGCACTTTAATTGTCCACGACGGAAGACAGCATTTAAAATTTAAAATGGCGGATATCGTGTACGAAGTAAACGGAAGGCAATCGCATCGTACAAACTGTATAGACTGAGACACAACAAAACACACCATATTAATAACAAGTTACTTATTAGTTATTATAAGTATGTTTTATTTAAATAATTTTGGTATTTTTTAATAATTTCGCCGTTTATTTGCACCTCATATACAATTAATATAGTTTATGATGATTCAAAATATATCACCGCCATGCCATTGGTATACGGCAGTGAGTTGGGATATAAACTAAACCAACTAATACGAAATCAGATATATATTTACCAGGATTTTGGGCCGGCATCTCATTCGATATAACTAATAGTCTAATTGTTGAAGGGATTTGTAGATGAAAATTTCGAGTGCATATATGGCCATGGAATTTTTCAGATACATTCCACTCGAAATTAGTTCCCTCTAAAAATCCCTTCAAAAATTATATATTTACCAATTACCAGCTGTACTGTATATTATTATTTAGGCTACTTTACTTCCAGGCCGAGTGCCGACTATTTCAAAGTGTGCTATATGTTTTGAATAAATATGCATGTGGCTTGCTACTTGTTTTATGTTGCATGACATCTTCGTTTACGACTGTGCATGTGAAGTAGTTATAGAAAGATTCAAAACTATTTAATATCTCGAGCTGCTACTCTTAGCCGCTCGATGAAGGCTTTTTGCTTACTGAAATCTGGCTCAGTTTGTGGCTGAAAACAAAGACCGAGAGACAAGACTGCAGTCAATTGCTAGAATTAGATAGTTATCAACATACCTTTATTATTGCATTTATTACTGCAGAGAAATTAATATATAATAGTGTCGTTCACTTGATTTGTGCTCAATCAGTAGGATAGTGATGAAGCCAGAATATAGCAAAATATGTTCTTGAGTAAACACCGTTTACGAAAACTTTGATTCATATTGAGTACTATTGAAAATGGCTATACGTGTTAGCTCATTTTCATAAAGTTAATATCATATAACTGCATCATTCCAAGAAAAAACCCGATACGCGTCAAACACTGATTTTTACCTCACGCAGAGACACTTAATTTGTCTTTGAATCATTAATAAAGACATGCATGGCATGATCATCAACAAATATGTTCCCTTGAACTTGCACATTCTAATACGCCGTGTAGTTCAAACTGCTACGACTAACGTTATTTAGACGCAAAATTCCTACGGTGATCACAGAAACTTTGATACAGTGTAAACCAATCTTCAAACACTCATTAATAATTCATAAACTTATTGGCAAATCATGTCAACCACAATATCTCACGTGCAGTGGCTTTAAACCTGATAAAACACTCCTAATTTAAATAGGAAAAACATCGAGAAAAAATAATAGTGAAAATAGGAAATAAATACTCTGACAACTAGGAATTAAATAGCCCAATAAAATAGGAATTATAAATAGCAATTAAATAGTGTTAGATTCTACAAGGGAAAGCATTAAAGAAACACCATTTTATGTGGCTTTTGAATTTGAAGCGCGGAACCCAGGAGACATAATTAGAGATGAGACAACGACGACAACGACCGGTAACAATTCGGGTAAGAAGAGAATGCAAGAAATGTCTGCTCGTCTTAAGTATCTGAAGAATCCGCCTTCGAAAGTTTGTTCACGCATCCTATGATAACAAGATGAAAGAAAACAGCCCGAAAGCAAAAACGTGAAATTCACTCCTTTTAAGATAGGAGAGTAGGTTAAAAATATAGGGACTAGCGAAGAAACGGTTGGACATCGTTGGAGGGGTCCATTTACAGGGAAAGCGAGGAAAGGAGACACAACGTACGCGATACAGATGGATGGACAGAGACGAAGAAAGGAAACGATTAATCACCAATGGGCTAGTATTCCAAAGGTCGTCGGTTCGATTACCACCGCGGCCAGGCATATTTTTCAAGCCTGCCCGGTGTGGATATACACTCAGAGTAACATCACACACATCTTATTCACCTGAGTACATTACACAAACACAGCAAATAGCATGATATTAGATTACACTGATATCGAAGGAACTAGACTCAATTCCGAAATATCACATACTCAAACCGACCTGACCGCGTAGCTCTGTTGGCAGAGCATTGGGCTAGTATTCCAAAGGTCGTAGGTTCGATTCCCACCGTGGCCAGGCATATTTTTCAAGTCTGCCCGGTGTGGATGTACACTCAGAGTAACATCACAAGCATCTTATTCACCTGAGTACATTACACCAACACAGCAAATATCATGCTTTCTAATAATTTCAAATAATTTCGACACATAGAATAGATAGAGAATCGGTTGGGACAGCTTCCTTGCGGAACTCCACAGGTCACGGGAAAACTATTTGAGAGCACTTGGTTTAAAGAAACAAACTGTTTTCTGTCTGACAGAAAAGATTTTATCCATCCAAGCACGTTACCGCCGACACCAAAATTTGATTTTAATATTTCTAACATGATTTCGTGGTCCACCGTAGCAAAGGCCGCACTCAGGTCGAGTAGTAGAGGTAGCGTTACTTCTCGTTGATCTATGCTCATTAAAATATCGCTTTGAGCTTTAACAAGAGCAGTTTCGGTTGAGTGAAATGGGCGATAAGCTGATTGGTTGGTTGGAAAAGGGGCATTATCATCACAATGCATGTTAAGTATCTGACCAACAACTGCTTTTACTTGAGGTTATTTACAGGTCTAAAATTTTCAAATAAAGCTTCAAGACCAAGTTTCTTTAATATAGGTACCAGAAGAGCAACTTTCCATGCTTCAGGAACATCGTGCATGTATAGGGGCGCCAATATTAATAATTTTCGTGATTACAGTTTTCAATTCATCGACGCATAATTTCACTATATATAGACAGGTTGGAATAGGATCTAATTTACAAGTATAGCATTCGATGAATTCATAATAATATCGCGAATCTCTTCTTCTGTTAACTGACGAAACAATGCAAGACTGTAAGTTTCAACTGATGGAGGTTGTACTACAATGCCATAAATTTCAGTTGTAATTAGTTCGATCTTTCGCGATCGGTGGAAAAACTCTCCAAACTCATTCGCAAGTTGACCTAAGTCAGTGTGTGGACGGATTTTCTTTGCGAATTTTAGAAAGAGTAGACACCACTTTGAAAAGTTTTCTTGAGTCACCCGAGCACTGGTCGATAAGTTCAGAATACTATATATAGTCGTTTGGTATACTTTTCGGTTCATTAGAATATTTGTTGCAAGAAGCGCGACACAGTTTCTTGTCACACTCACAGTTTGATTTTAACATTTTTCTCCCTAATTTTCTGCGATTTACTTTCAGACGTGTATAAGTTCATCATTGAACCACGGTAGCTTTGTTCTCTCCATTATCACCTTTCTTTGTACAGGAGCATGTTTCTCTAAAATATTAGACAGGGTTTCATCGTAGTTTTGCACCAGGGCATTCAAATTAGCCCAAGTTTCATTACATAGATTAGATGTCACAATGTCAGATTGAATGCATCTATGTTGATTTGTCTCATTCTGCGAAATTTAAGTTCCTTCTGTGTAGGATTGGGACGGGGCACAGACAAACTACACTCAACAAAGCAGTGGTCGGATAGGAAAAAAGAAGCCTGTATTTCGCCAATTATGATATCACTGGGTGTTCTCGTGACAATAAGATCCAATATATGTTGTTGGATACATGAGTTGGAAACATAACATGTTGTATGAGGCCAAATGTTTCCAGAACTTCAATGAATTTTCTACTATCTTCATCTCCAGTTATTATATATGATCGTCCATCGTTTTTCGTTGATGACTGAGATGTCAATGGTTGTTCTTTCTCATTCCCTACATTTGTTCGCTCGTATATGTGACGCTCTTCCTGCGTTCGAAATAAAGCAGCGTCCGCACTTAGGCCTATTACACTGTATGTTCGATTCAAGAGTTCCATGGCGTGATTGTCGTCGTCGTTTATACTCGTCGTTTTATTCCATCCGACTTTCTTCGATTCTGGTCACTGACTGCGTAACAATTCCTTTCCAGACGTCTCGATCTTTGGCATCTCTTTCCCATGTGTTTACGTCACATTCAATTTTCTTCAGCT